TCTCCCTGTCACACCATGCCATTACCAGGCCTTATCTCCCACAGCGGGGGGGACACCAACACAGTAAATCCCTGTTGGAACCAGCTGCAGTCGTCTCTTTGTGGAGCATCTCAAAGCCAGATTGCGGTCACTACTAACGCACCCCCCCCCCCCCCCATCGGTAAATCAACACTGAATAGTGACTACTGCTTTTTCACCGGGGACCACCATGTCAGTAAACTCATATTTACAGAGATTTTGCCTGATGCCACCAAATCCTCAAAGCATCTCTTTACAGTGGATAACTACAGTTACTATAAACCTTTGATGTTGTACGGTGGCCTATTATTACTTTTGTATCCAATCAAAGCAGGATTAAAAAAAAGCAAGAAAAGACAGACAGATGCAACACAATCTTTGACTCCGTTTTTGACAAGCTGCTAATTTGTTATGTAACAGCCCGAGCAGAGAAAATCAAAGCAAGTCCCTCCCCCCCCCCCCCCCCCCCCGCTCTCTTTTACATTACATTACTGCGAGGGGTGATTAGAGACGGATAATTGGGGCACAGAAATCCAGCAGTATAGGAGCCACATTTTTTTGAAAAAGGGTTAAATTCCAGAGGTATCTGCCAAGAGATTGAATAGGCTCCAAAACACATGCAAGGTCTTTTGTTCTGCACTACGGCTCTTTTGTACCTGCTGTTTGCATTACAGGGAGCTTTACCTGTCAGATAGCATACCCTTTGTATATTTGATCACTTAAACTGTATTTAATTACCGCTTATCCGTTCACTTCAGGGGAGGCTGGGAAATGAGGCCACAATGGGAAACAAAAGCTTTCTGCTAATGTGCTTCACAAATACAAAATTAATGACAAAGTATCACAAGAAATAATGACTCGATATCTGTGAGATTTGCTGTGTTTAGAGCTACATCAATCAGCCAGACCGATTTATTGAATCTATTAGTTTTGAGGTGTTTTAAAAACAGTGTCTATAAGAGATTATTTTCGACTATGTCCTGCTACACATCTATGCTGTTATAAGTGTTTAAAAAACGAATTTAAGGGGAAGAAATGTCTCTAAATATTGGCTCCCGCTGCTCCGTATTACCGTAGCATACGGGCTAATATTTAGTTAAAAGAGTGCCCAAAACTCTCTCTCTCTGCCCCCTCCCCTTCCCTGAACCTGGTCCATCCAGCTGAATTAAGGTCAACATCTTCCCCCAATGAACTCCCCATGAGTCTCTCCCATGTTAGTCCTGCAGGGTCACTAGTAATGTCATGATATTTTATGGACCCTAGAAATCTAGTATTGTCAAATGTCCATCAAATATGCAGATTCGGGGTCATGGTTGCTCATTTTACAAAAAAAGCTAGACGCATATTACATAGCCACATAATAACAATCAACAAATTCACATCCCTTATGATAAAATCATTGTTTTGATGCTGTCATTTTGTGGGAATGTACTGAGCACTGATGCCTCCACGTGCCACCGATGATGCTAGCGGGGCTGTAGACCTCTATGACTTCTGTAGTCTTGTTACGTAAAATTATTGCCCCGTGCAGTTAGTAAAGGTTGTGCGGCCTTCCTCGCATGTTTCTGTGCTGTCAACACTTTCTAAAGATAACACCTCCACCTCACCCACACCCCTGAACCACCTCTCTCCCCCCATCAGCAACAACAAGTCTGCTGCGACAGAGACTGCTAAAATGAACCCCTAAATAAGGGTTTCTGATTGGCACTCTGGCGAGTCTGCAGACCACAGGATCAACTAAGAGAAGGGGAGGAAATAAAGGAAACAGGGCACACAGTAGATATTGAGAGACAACAGAACAAATGAAGTAGATGGGCAAAATGAAGAGGCTCAGGCTAAGCGTTGTTCATCCTGAAGCCGAGGACACTCAGGACACCTACCCTGCATCAAAAGATAAATTCCTGTTAAATTGACGCTAATCTCCCAGTGAGGAAAATACAGCGAGCTGGATCATTAAAGTGCCACGAAGGCCTCCCCAGTGCAGACACATCGCCTGCAGAGAAGTGCTTACACTAGCAGACAGAGTCTCTGCTTTGCTGATCATGCCAATGTGTACTCCTTCTCATATACAACAGAAACAACTCATTAACTCACACACATTTTCACAGCCTCACTTACACATACACACATCACAGAGCATCCTTAATCCCAAATTGGCAAGCGTGAATGTAATTTGATCTTTCCGTTAGCAGCGATGCCAAGAAATGCCAAGGAGAGGCGTCTCTCTTAAAGTTGTACTAATGTTTTCACCCTTGTGGCCCTGAAAGAAGATCAATGAACAACTGAAGGAGGTCGCAAACTCTAAGATCTCCCTAACATTTGACCTCAGTACAAACAAATCCTGATCCTTGTCAATCAAACCTGAAAGCTGATGAAGACGGCAAGATTAGGAAAATCTGTAAGGAATTGATCCTTTCCTGCATTTCAGTCTCATGAACAGAATAATTACCATGCATGTGGCACAGTCAGCTATCCATGTACTCAATCCAAAGCCATGCCATGCAATCCCACTATATTGACCAACTAATAATGAGTCACAGATACTTGATTCCACAAGCAATTTGTATTCTTGATTGTGACAGACTTTTCATTTTACGGACAGTACGCCGACCACTCCTTTGGCGATTTGAAGGTCAAGACCCTGAAGGATTAGAGAATGTTACAGATGAGTGGATAGCTGAACCGTCTCATTGAAGCAACGCCGAGAGGGGGTTGTAAATGGTCAGTAGATCTCTAAAGTGAATGGATTGCTGTGACTCGCTCACGCTATCTGTCTGTCCAATGCAGCAGAATTACAAAGTGTCACTCCAGAGCATCAACTCCAGTCGGGATCTGGTTGTTGCTCAGCATCTGTGCCATGCTGAATGAAATCTGGATTGTGGGCGATAGAGTGAACAAACTCTATCAACAAACTTTGGCACCGGGTAAAAATCATGAAGGTTTCACTCATGCCCTTGAAAGAGAAATGCATCGCATATGGTGAGGATGCATTCTTCTCACTACTAAAAGAGCGCTGGTCTTTTTTCAAATTATGCCGAGAGAACTAAGATGAGCCAAGGGAGGGTGTGTGTATTATATGTGCATGTGTATATAAGTGTGAGAGAAATATTTAGCTTCACAATAGTATTCACAATATACTGTGTGTATATATATATATATACATTATATGGTGTTTCCCCTATATTCATTCTACAGCAGCACACAGCCGCTACAACGTTATGAGCGGCACTGCTAATATTTCACACGATCATTAATATCCTCTGCACTCGTGTTTCACCGAGCGCATGGCTTAGCCTCTCCACACACACACATACGGAGCAGACCACTTAACGCACAAGCCAGTCATAATTATGTTTTAATGAAAACTCAACTCATGGTTTTTGTTCCCGGTGTTCTTCACCACTGTTTTGGAAGAAGGAAATAATGGAAGTAGAAGGCAAGTTCAGGGGTTTGTGACCCTTACATTGGGTAAATACAAACTGCTACAGCATGCTGCAAAAATATTTCTCTAAGAACTTGTATGATAATAGTTTAGAATCATTATTTTATTCTTAACTATTTTATTATATTTGACCCTGTAAAAATGAAAACAAGTTATGTCACAAACTAAATTGACACTTTTTTTTTCCCTGGTATGTGTAATTTTCTCTCCTTAACACTATTAGTCCCACTCCTAGTGACCTTTCACCTCAGCAGGTTCTCAACCAATCCAGGGCAACAGATTCTAGGATCCAGAATTAGCACCGCTATCACTGGCATGAAGAATGTCGACTGTGCAGACAAGTCATGGAGGAAAGGAGTGAGCAGAGACAAAGTGAAGGGGTGATATAAAGAGAGTGAGTTGCAGACAGAAAAAGGATTGTTGTCGCTCGTTATAGGACTGGGCTGTTATGTAATAGTAATGAGAAAACAGATAGCAGAATCATCCATGTGTTTTCAGGGCATTCTTTTTTTCTAGATTATGACCAGAGACTTTACATTACACAGCCAGAAGGCAAGACAATTCGAGAGTGAGAAAATGACATCTTGAAGCAGCTGAAACGCTAAATTATGAATAATTTTAAATGATAAGTGTGCTAGATATTGGTAAAATGTACACTTTAACAGTCTACAGCTACGCTAGCAGCTACGTGAGGCTGTACACAGGCACAGTGATGCTTTGAGCCAATGGTTTTCAACAATTTAGCACGTTAACATTTGCTAAATAGCACTAAAGACAAAACACAGCTAAGACTGATGGTACTGTCATTAGTTTTGCTGGTATTTAATCAAAATATAAGTATTGGACAAACTGGAATTTTGTCATGATAGTAGTGCGAAATGAAAAGTTCACGTATTTGTAGTACCAAGATAAAAATAAGAGTTTGTGATGCTTGATAGCTCCTATCATTCCCTCCCTCCCTTGCAAATCTCTCATTCAGTTCTTTCGTCCTACTCTTATCGTAACATTTCCCCTTTGGTGCTGCGATCTATTTCTTTAAGCACCCTCTAACTTTCAATGATACACACACTGTCTCCTCAATGACTGTCTCCTCCCTCCCTCCTCCTCTTCACCATCACAAACCGGGAAGAGTTAAGGGCGTCACACTGTGAAGCCTTTACCAGCCCCAGAAGGTGGGAAAAAACGGAGCGTACACTTTATGGCCACATACACAGGAAAAGCTTCCATTCACCTTTCTCTTTCTGAACTGTGTAAAAGCTCCCATCATACATGTTTAATGCAAATACTGACATGATCGCAATACCACGTTGAATTGGAGAAATTTCACACAGCAGTCGAACGTGCCTCTGACTGGGAGGTCTCATGTCTCGACACAAGCATGTTCCATGTGTAAACCCCTGGACAGCCGTCTAAGCGTGCACTGCAATGTGTTCTCAAGCTTGCTGATGTGTCTGACTGAGCATGTGTGTGTGTGTGTGTGTGTGTGTCCAGGGAGAACCTGGTGTTAAACACGTATATAAACATGTCACACAGCACTCACCGATGCAGGCGTGCACACGGACGGTCAGCTGGGTTCGTAGAATAACACTGTGCTTCTTCCCTCTGGACCTGACAACGAAAGAAGCAGAAATATCTTCATGAAAGCAATGATATGTTTCTAGATTCTGCACTCACTCACAACCCTTGCTTCAGTGGAGTGCTCTGTCTCGTTTCACAATTTATTGACACTTGATGCGAGAGAAGAATATACGGCAACAAATGAAACGGCATTGGATAAGGAAGTGCAATTATTTCATCCAGTCGGCAACTGCTTTAAGGAAAAAAAAAAATGTTACTTGTGTTAAATGTTCTTGATTTTAAGACTAACTATCGTGCAAGGACTTGTTATGATGGACCTTTTTTTTGTAATGCAGAGGCCGTTGGCATGATGGGAATTGTGCAGACAAACAGTGGCCTGCATTGGATTTGTACCCCCCCTATACTGATAAGCATCTGAGCTTTGAGGCCGCAAAAGTGCAGCAGCAGACACAACACACATACACACACACCTCCGCATACCATCATGAGCACACACATTCATTTCCAGTGGGAAAACAAAGGGAGAACACACAAACATAAGGGTAAAAGATGCTGGTATTCGGAGAGCGACTCCAACTCTCTCTCCTAACCTCAGTTGTTATTTTCCAGTCCGTGGGAGCCTATCGCTGACTTCCATCACTGACATGCTGATAGCATCCAATCCAAGCAGGGAAAGCACTGCTCTGATAACATGCAAAACATGCAGCGAGGATAACACACACCCAAACAAAAAGAACGGCTGGCCTCCTATCCTTCTGCTGAGCTGCGTTATCAGCTTTGCTAAGAAATAGAGCAAAAATGTTAACACGATCTGCATGAGATGCTGATAGCTAACTGTGTTTTTTCTTGCAATTTCAATTTCCTTGCCGGACCTGTATGATAATGTATTGTGTGAGAATGACAGGTGAGAATAAGGCTTCATGGAAAATGATACCCATGATGCAACGATTGGATGTGAGAATGTAAAAGACTGTGAGGATAAGAAGGGATGTTTTGGATTGCAAATGCTAGTGAGCTGGAACGATTCACTATACTTAATAGATTGTTTATTCAAATCCATATCTCAATATCGTTTGAATAATACAAAAACACCTCTCATGGCTTGGAGGAACTCTGCTCGACATGACAATCTACAGCAGCTTGCTCCTGCTATTTCCCCTCCTTTAGTGAAAGCATCCTCTGAGCTGTCCTCGTCACCAGAGGACTTGTTTACTGTCAACCGTGGTGAGCAGTGTCCTGCCACAGCTGGAATCACAACAATGTGTGGGAACATAAATTCTGGGTGATAATGCCTTAACATCAATCTATTCTTTTTTTGTTGTGAATATTTTGAGATTAGAGAGATTAGCTTCAGCCAAGACAAGACAGTAAATCCATGTGAATATGTGACAAACGGCTGTTAATACAGAACAGTAACATCACACCTGATGAATAGACACATCTAGACAAACCCAAAATTCACAACCACTATGGCTTTTAAGACAGCCGTTAAAACCTGCCTGACTTTAAAGTAAAACATGTGGTTTGAGGCTGAGGTACTGAGTATGATTAGTTTATTCATTTTTTGGCACTATATAAACGGTGTTCTTCCAACAGAGGGAGGACAAGGACAGGCTTAGTCGGAAGCATCTATCCTCAACCTTTGTGATGTTAAAGCCAAGAAAGGGTCAAACCCGACCCAATGTGTCATTCATTTCCTACTGTCAGTACAGTATGACCTTGGATGACAGACCTTCTGTCTGGCCTGTCCAATCCAAACAGTTCTCCAAGATCTCAACGACTTCAGAAACACACACAGGCCTTTATACGCCTGTCCATCACCTGTCACATGACTTACCAGGTGCATAAGAAAGACACATGGAAACAACCACACACAGGCACTTATCATGAAGTCTCCAAACAGATCGACATACAACAACGCTTCACAAACCGCTGGAAATATCTATCATATCAAGATATGAAAACAAAAAACTGAAACATGTTTTGAATTAATTAGCATCACTGACATACAACTTTTTTGGTGGAAACGCTGAGCCCTAGCAGCACATTTTCTCTTGAAGAGAGACACCAGCATTGCTTCTGGGAGATGTGAGAGACTGAAAATACTTGACGACAGTGCTGTTACAAAGTGATCATGCAGTTTCTTCTAGACTTGACAGGTTTGCGAACTGTGAAATTTTGTCACAAAGATCAGAATATCAATTATTGTAAAAACACAGTGAGAGAGCTGTAGCTGTGGAAGGGAGGGCACATCTGTCTCACTTTCCAGAGCGCTTCATACTTTCCATGAACTTGTGCTTCCAAGAAATCCACATCCAGCAGCTTGTGATTCTTCCCACTTTATAAGAATGGAGAAACTCAGAAAAAGATATATGTGTGGGTGTGTGTGTGTGTGTGTGTGGGGGGGGGATGACTATTTGGAAGGGCATACATGTGAATCCGTCTCACCCTGTGTCATCCTGCAGAAAGCCCTCCAGCTCGTCCTTTTGCTCGGCCAGAGAGGACTCCAGATCCAGATAGGTGCCATTGTGGGAGAGCTGCAGCGTACAGTCATCAAGCTATGGGAAAGAATGAAACAATATTTTGAACACAAAAGTCTTCAGGATACTTGATTCAACTGTGTTGAACAAAACTAGGGGCCAACTTAAAAAATTGGCATTTAGACCTAAGTTTGGGATGGAAAATATGGTTCAGCACTTGGACATACGCAGGGTGGCATGTGAAAAGTCCCTGGCCTTGCTATGATACGTGCATGTGCCACCCACAGGAATGATATTGGTCTCTGGATCCACAATTTTTTAATACTCACTCACTATGTCTCTGCATGCGTTTCACACCCTTGTTTTTTTGAACAAGTTGAGCCCGTAAAGTAAAGCCAGTTCACGGGGCGAGGATTTCAACGTGAGTCGAGTGTGTACAGTGATCCAAAGTGGGAGAGCCATATGCGGTGTGCCTCTGCTTTCAGCATTACAAAGCTGTGAGGGGAATTAACTAGTGGAGACGTAGCAATAACGGCTTCAGAACATGAAACCAGAACCAGGGGGGGGAAACAGAATGAAAGGTTTTTTTCGTGCATTTAAATACCAGCTGTGAGAGGAAAAATGACTGTCAAAATTTCAATTGTGTACAATCTCTACATGTTTGTGGAGGGAGCAATCACAGTCATTCCCACATACATAAGTTACATGTGTACATTCACGCACACGGCAGATTCTCTTTTTCACTTTTCAAGAACCAATCTTGCGCCCATCCATCTGAGATCGCAAGATCTAAGGTAGCGCTGCAGAGCGGCCTCCGTCAGAATTGACCAGCTTTGCTCTGAGTAATGGGAAACCCTGCTGAGTCTGAGACCAGGTGCACAGTAATATATCTGCACACCACGAGCATTGATGTATACAGTCACAAGTTGATAGCAGGTGCAAGCAGCCGGCACAGCTACAACTCATAAAAAGTAACATACATCATGGCGTTATTGTTACAATAAGCTCTGAGCTTTACAACTCATTGTTAAAGCTGCTGATGTATGAATCGGTGAATGAGATCATGTGTCATGACTTCAGTTAGCATTTAGCACCTACATACTGGGTACCCTAGCCTCTGGTGTGCTGCCAAACGCCCCCCTGGCTGTCTGGTCAAGTTGCATGACGACGCACCCTGACCAGCAGAGACCACTGATCACAAGACCTGCTGCTGCCCTCCGTCTGTCCCTCCTTCTCATTGGGAAACGGAGAGACGGACTGTCGGATGGACTCACAGCATAAATATAACCTTGCTATATTTACCCTGCACTGAGGCAGCATGCACACGAGAGTGGGTGTGTGTGTAGGGTCTGGGGGGGGGGGGGGCACTACCAAGGCTAACCTAACCTATCATAAATTCTTTAAGCCAGCGGTCACCAAGTGTTTTTGCTCTTAGAGCCACCTGAAGGGCAGAGAGTAATGTGGAGGGTTACTGTTCTTACATTATCCTCCCGATTATCAAATTGGCTCGGTTTACCTTAAATAATGAAAATCGTGCTTTTAATAGGCAACGAGGAGACTGTCTGTCTATGTTCACTGGTTACTGTTAATGATTCCTCACAATAATTGTTAGTAATGTTTTATTAAGTGATCATAGGAAAACAGAGAAAGCACAAAACTTTTATACATTTAAACACGTGTGCGTGGAAACAGCTCGGCGAGTACGTGACCATCGTTTGGTTCAAGAGTTGAAGTTGAAGTTCAAGGAGTAGGCATACTTCTGTGGCATTTGTTCCGCCCCTCCTCCACTGTGACTGGACATTTGGGTGGAAAGTGACAGTGACGAGTGAAGCGTTTTACCCATATTTGAACATATTTCAGCTCTCGATGGCCATAAAAAAAATGACAAACATGCAGCGCTCAGAACAGAATAGACACTCAGCACAGAACACGCTGATATGCTTTGCAAATAATTCAAAACTTATGCTGGCCTCAGAAAAAAAAAAAGGCTTTGACCTAACAACTCTACCGGTGACTCATGCTATTTTCAGAAGCATGATTTTAGAAGGATTTATGCGCCTTAAGCTCTTCTTAGTTTGTTTTGATCTGGTTCTGCTTTTTCACTATAATTCTCATTCTCTCATTAGTCCCTCAGTATTTATACCAGTCCTCTTTCACTTGGTCCCTGTCAGATTGTCTTGAGCTACCAAGCGCTCCAGAGTATCCTCATAGTGTCTGATCGGCTTTTTCTGACCCTATTCTCCTGGTTTTCACCCTGCCTGAACTGTTAAGTAAACTGAACTGAACTCCTTGCAACTCTACATATCTCATTGTCTTGCTTTTGGAATAAGTTGGCCTGTGAATGTTACAATGACTCTTACTCTGGCTTCTGCTCCAGTTTCACCAAACTCATAGTTTGTCCTAAAGAGGACATGAATGTGTGTACCAAATGTTAATCCAAAAATCTGTGTCAATCAATCTGATAGTTGATGAGATATTTCAGTCTGGGCCAAAGTGGTGGACTGTCCAACTATCAAGCCAACAAGATAAGAAACACAAACATTCTAGTGCAAATACCGTATTTTAAGGGCCTTCTTTGTAGTCTAGTGATTTAGGTTTGACTACGTAGAAGGGAGGAGACAGACGGGGGTTTAATCATGCCCTGTCCCACTTTCCATTTATGTAGGACAAAAGCATTTCTTGTGCCCAATCCGCTGGCATTATTCAGCATTTTCTTTAATATTCCACTTGAGGCTTTATGTCCCAAGACAGAGCCCCACCACCACCTCCGTCTCCTGCTCCCTGATTTATTTTGCTGCTCCGCTTTTATCTACGCACATTACTCAATCATACAAATACTGCTTGGACAGCAAAGAAGTGAGCCCCGGACGACTCTGTAACACAATACGCTAACAGCTAACCGTCCAAAGGGTGTCTCCTTCCTAAAACACTTCGCTTGGGTAATAGTAGTAATAACATAACAAAACACATCGTGCTGGACGGAGCCGGCTGAGAGGTGGCTCCAGAAGGAACCGCAAGCTCTTCACACTCAAGGCTCCAGGACGGGCCAGGGAAACACTTAGTGGCTAGTATACTTTGCACTCATTTAATCAAATTCTCCCAGAAGAGCAAAGCAGGGAGAGAAAAAAAAGAATTGGGGGTAGGGGAGTAATTACTTCCATGTTAAAACAACACCAGGCCTGCCGGCGATCACGACGGGTCGACGCTTAACAATAACCTTTACGTAACTTAAACGATGAGTTTTTAAGAACGTTTTTGTCTCAAACTCGGCGCCACAGAGGAGCATTTTCTTTGAAGAGTGTGGAGGACGGTGTGTTCTACACAGCTATTAAATCTCCCAGTGTTGCTCTATTGGGAACCCTTTGGTAAGGAAATAAAAGTTCGGCTGTGAAGTCTTGGCTTTGTTGCTTTTGAGGGGAATGGGAGATTTCCCTGCAAAACTGATGGTGAGGCTTCTGCATTGAGCTTAAAATGTATGGATCATTTTCTTTTTTTGGGGGGGTACCTTGTCTTGGTGCTTAGTTTAAGTCAGATCTTTGCAATTTAACATCTTTAACATGCAAATGTTTCTTTGAAAAGTGAGAATATCTTTTGTGAGAATAAAAAGGAAACTTTTTTTCTCAGCAGTTTGGATAAAATGACACATCCCATGCACTGATTTAGCCCTGGCAAGTTAGCCTAACAGTGTGTGTGTGTGTGTGTGTGTGTGTGTGTGTGTGTGTGTGTGTGTG